GGGCGTTATAATGTGACGGTTCAATCCCACTATTCGTTGGTAAAAGAGTAGCCCAAGAGTTGGCGGTGGGTGGTGATGACTAGCTGCCTTTCCCCTAGTCTTACACTGCTAAATTAGGGACGGCTAGCGCAGACAGCCCTCGTGTAGCTTTGCGCGAAATTAAAAAAAAACAAACACTGAGCCACAGCTAAGATAAGAAACACAATTAGGTTAAAATTCCGAAATGTCAAGAGTAAATGTGACCAAATAAGTTGTACATAGTCTCGGATGCAGTATATACAATAACTATTGATGATTGGATAACGACTCTCCATAGAGAAGTTGTGATTACTTAGCTGTCTTGTAACTGAAGTTTTAGACCATAGTAATGTGCTGTCGATTAGACAGGGAATATACTAAGGAAAATAACCTAATGCAAGTAGCCAGAATAACAGCTTTGTTAGTGGTGGAGATAATATATTATTGTTGGTGTATCAAATTACATCTTTGTCAATGAAGTAATCTAGTACAACGATGTCAAGATAATTATTGTCAATATTTGGGGTCTTGATGCACATATAAAACGTCCAAAGATCTATCTGGATTCTCCTACAGCATTTATAGACATAAATAGACGAACATACCCTACAATTGCAGGTACGGTCCCATCTGGTTTGGTATCATCAAGAGAGAAGCAAACTGGATGTTCATCGGTATCATTGATAATCATGGATCCACAGTAACCTATACAATAATGAAGAAAAAACCTACTTAGGTAGTATAATAAGAAATTTACAGATTAAAAAATCCAAGTTCATTATGCGGAATCTCTGCAACATCATCTACTGCCCTCTATCGTTGATTACAGTTAATTATTTCAGTCATATCTTAAGATACTTTAAAGCAGTGAACTCTGATTCACACGTCAATAAGTTCATTATGCGGAATCTCTGCAACATCATCTACTGCCCTCTATCGTTGATTACAGTTAATTATTTCAGTCATATCTTAAGATACTTTAAAGCAGTGAACTCTGATTCACACGTCAATAAGACTGATACATATTAAACAATCCATCAATACACGATGTTTTTGATAAGTGATAACTGTTAATATGAAAATCTCATTGAGGAGTTCCATTCAAACAATTCGCCCCCAGTGGTACAGCGGTATGTCTGCAGACTTACATCGCTAGAATCCCTAGAATCCGGGTTTCGATACCCGTGGTGAGCAGAGAACAGATAGCCCATTGTGTAGCTTTGTGCTTAATTACAAACAAACAATTTGGTTGTCCAAACACTTCATCCGCCCTCGAACGATATGTATGTTTTGGCAGCCAAACTCTCTAGTACTTTTAAACAGATGCATCTAACATATTGCTTAATATGTTTTAATTGTGATTATTTTACAATTGCAACTATTGATTCTGTAACCTCATTATAAGTTGGAATTCTTCACTGCATTGTTTGTAAATATTAACTCGATATATATATATATGAAGCGAATTTGAAAAATGAACGAAGCTCATGTATATTCTGTCAAAATAAGTATTTTACATGTGTCATATAGAAGAGTCATAAAGTAACAACAATAAATATATTTAAAGAACGCTTTGATGGAACAAACTTAGAATTTCTTGACACGTATAATGTATCAGATCGTTATGATTCTTAAAATGTGAATGAGTAGGTATCTTTTCACAGATGGGGAAAAAAGATCGCAGAGTTTCAAACAGATGATAAGATAAAATAACTTGTTTGTAAAAAAACTGTACAATAGCACTGAACACTTTGAACACATATTATAAATCTATGTCTTTCCTCCAAAGTGCACTTGATACTAGTTTCTATGTATATGACATAATCAACACAAAGGTGATTATATTAAAACACATGTCAAAGATTTTTACGATGTTTAATTACAATCTGAATTTTAAAGATATACCATATTTTTTAGTATTTATAGTCGAAGAAACACAGAGATAAATCTAAAAAACGCACATACTGACCTTTCTCTCTCCAAAATGGAGTCTTGTAGTACAATATACACTTCATGACACTCCCCATGGGTGTCCTCTGAATCAACTGATTTCTCAAGATTGGTAATGGTGGATTAAAATGAATTTTCATTTGAAGAATAGGTGACATTGCTAGGATGACATACTTTCCCTGTTTAGAACAGATAACACATGCATTTATCAGATGGATGGTTAAATGAATAGTTTGATAATTGGAAAAATATATAAATAGAGATATTGTATGCCGTATCTATGGCAAAGCTACTAAGACTATCTACATCAGTTCTTAATTTTGAGCTACTGACAAAGGGAAAGCAACCAGACAACAGCATCCTACCACTCACCATCCACACTAAGGAACTGACTGTCACTGTTATAACGCATCTACAGTTTAAAGTGTGGGGAATATTTTGTACTTTTGCTAGAATTCCAATCCTGCGAGCCATCTCCGAAATCCAGAACTACAGGGACAACCAACACATTCAACCAAATAATCAAACAAAAACAACAACAGGCAAACATGTATAGGTAGATAGATACCGTACCCGGTATTCATCTCAGTCTAAAGTTTTAAACATATATAGGTAGATAGATGCCGTACCTGATATTCATTTCAGTCTAAAGTTTTAAACATGTATAGGTAGATAGATACCGTACCTGGTATTCATCTCAGTCTAAAGTTTTAAACATATATAGGTAGATAGATGCCGTACCTGATATTCATTTCAGTCTAAAGTTTTAAACATGTATAGGTAGATAGATACCGTACCTGGTATTGAT